GCGCAAGTCAGTCAGTATTAGGACATGAACGCAGTTGCGTCTGTCTATGGATCCTGGGCAATGTCAAACGCCGACAAACACACACACACACACACACACAAATACACAAAGGTAACTTGATGCAAGTCGCACAGAGTTCATCGTCGCTTTGATCTGGTTCGGTTGGATCATTTTTGATTTTGTCGCATCGATGGGACAAACTATCGTTGCCCATTCGTATTCGCTACCTCATCTGCCTCCCCCCACTCCGCCCGACCGCCCCCCCCCCCCCCCCCCCNGCAGATGAACTCACAGCCTAATTGGTATGTGCCCGCAAAAGTCAAGCAGGTAAAAAAGTTGAAAACTGCCCAGTCACGTGTTTTATTTCACAACCGCACGGTGTAGCATCGGAAACGATGCTATTTCCGAAAGTAAGCTTTGATATCCCGGCAGTCATAGTTTGGTAGCTTTTAAGTGACCTCAATCTTCGTTCCAAAACCTGGATTGCACATCTGTTGGGTGTCAAATGCTCAGTGCATTGCATATAGGCTACGGAAAGCTTCGTGAAAATTTTCCACCAATTCCCAATGCCTGGGAGTCGTAAACAGTGGCGTTCGTGCATCTTCTCAATCAATTTCTTGGTAATATTATTTCACTGAAATTCTCAAATTTCTCTTCGATTCTACTGTCAAACTTTCCTGTCTTTCTCTTACTGTTCACCCACATGGACAGCTAAAAGACAGCAACCAAAACCGGGGCACGAAAGTGCGTGGTTAATGGTTGTACAAACTGAAACGGAAATGTCGAATGTCGAACACTGCTTGCGATACCCTGCGCGCCCGATTCAGCCGTTCTGACACACACAGGGAAGAAATGCGACAGTGCGTATGTTCACAAAACCAAAAATAGCGCCAACTATAAGCTCGTTGCATAACTCACCTCGTACAATTTCAATCACCTGTTCATCGTCGTGTCGCGTTGTGCGGACAATGTGTACAGGGTTTTCTGTAATGATAAAACAAGAACAAAAACAGGATGAAATCCGGCCAGTTGCGAGACACGATTTGCAACGAAAATAACGCTTATGTGTATCTATCAACTAATTGAAGGCAATAGTATAGATAGATTGTGTCACGGACAGGTGCTATAAGTTTTTGTGTAATACAATGATCTGTGATCTTTGCGTCTGTTTGTAACATTGATCAGAACTTGGGACCCGGTGGTCGAGTCTTTATGATGGTCAAAACAGCGACCAGGAAATCGAACCTCGTCACAACCGACTATCTTCCCTATTTCTACAAATCCCCCCGGGCAGCATTCGTATGGCCGAGGCCTTTTCTTGAAAGCTGACTGTAAATTTGTATATTCAATAGATGAAAAGAGGTAAAAACGTTCGAGTAACGTATTTTTTCTTAATAACTTCTTTCGGACAATGGTTTAGTAGTCGAGTTGTCTGTAGTTTCGCCGACCCTGATCCGTTCCAAAAATCAAAATGGATAAACATTTTTCTGCACTATTTTCAAAATCTTCATTTTATATAGAAAACACCGATTTGCTACCAGAACGTTTATCCGGAACGATAAAAGTACTCAATCTACTGTTATTTGTTTACAATAGGTTTAATTGAAGAAAATTTCTTGCATAGCATCATGGAAGATATGATGCAGCGGAAAAGGTCTGATCAACAAGTTCCCTGTGTCTCGTTGCTGTCGAGCGTGCAACTAATTGGTCATTAGTGAAGGTGATATTTGAAATGATTTGGATTCAGTTATTCTAATCTACCTATATGCAAGCTGATAATCAAGGGGGCTTCACGTACGCTTTCTGCATGACGGTTCCGGGGTTCGAAACCCAGGCGGATATGTGCTATCAATGAACTCTAACGAGAGTGAAACTTGAGGCTGATACTTCCGGAGAGTACGGCTAAATGAATGAGCACAGTGTAATGACTGGAGATGAAATCTAATGAGTGACCAGTCAAAAAAAGATGGGAACCTGTTCCACACTACGAAATAGAGTGATAGCGATGGATACGTGATTTTGACTACCTTTGAGCTTCCTATTGATTAGATCAGTTTACGAAATAAAAAAATGAAGTAAAACAATACCTTTTTGCACCAGCAAACAGCGGTCAAGAGTGACTTAATTATTGGTGGGCAAAGTTATCAAAAAACAAGTCGTAGGGATTATTTATTGAACTTTATCATGACACAAGATACTTCCACACTTCCAATCTTCTTTTAAATTGTATGACTACCAGTTATTCCCATTTTCGCCCAGTAACGTGACCCGAATAGAGTATAAAATCTCAGATCAGTTCCATAGTCCTATGGACAAGCTTATAGAGATTGGGTTTGTAACCAAGCGGTTTGTGTGATTTACTGAGATTGGCCCAATAAAAATAGACACTATTCGGGAACAACAATACTTAGTTGGCTGTACCAGTGATCATACTATAGCTTATGTCCTCTCTCTGTGGGGAACATATCATTTATCGACTATCTTTTCTTTGCAAATTCGTCTTCCGAGAACTGACACCATACATTTATGCACACCTGTGATAAAAATGACAGGCTAGCTCTTGGGGCTTATTAGATTGCAGCGCTGGGCTCAACTTACTAGTTTGTCAACTTAGTATATAGTCAGACAGAGAATTTGACCTGGGTGAAATTTGCGTTTTGCTTTGTGCTTTAAATTTGACGTTACCGAATTGATGAACAGGAAGAAGTGTTGCAAACGATTTGGCGGTTATCCTGCAAACTGAGGTTTCATGAAAAACGATACACATCTAAGGTTCTGCATCGAATGAATGGAGTACGTAACTACATGGAGTAGTTGGAGTCATAGAACTGAAAATCAATCTGGTGACGCAAACTCCCAAACGGGTCTACTATTCAGAAATGTGTTGCAACGAAAAAGCCGATCGGAATGGGATGGGTCATGTTCTTTTGGGATACATATTCCCTGTTTATCCTTCATCCCTAAACACCGAATCTACCGTTCGTGTGCCCTGCCAATCAGGAGATATGTGGGTCACACCTGTTGGCATCTTCTCCAAATCGCACGGATAACCGGCAGTGCAATATTTCATGATCGTTTGAAGACATGTACCGAGTGAAGTGAACTAAACGGAACTAGCATCAAAGTTGACAGTGATCCCAATGGATTGGAGTAGGCAACCTTAGTTGAATCGATGCATGGCTTGTTTCGTGAATTACAGTCAGAATAATCCATTCTTCATTTTTTATAATGTTTGAGAAAATAAAACTCATCAGATTGATAAATTTACCCGGCTTTATTGGGAATCTAGCGATTTGTTCAGTTCGTTCAACTTAAACTTGGCTTCACACAGTTGCACACAGTTGTTTCGAGCGCATTCGTTTCCGTTACCGTCTATCTCAAGTTCGAAAACACGTTTTTTTCCGTCACAAATTTGAATGAATAAGACAGAAACGTGGGTTTGCACAATGTATTCATGTATCCAGTTCGCTGTTTCTATGCACATGCATACTGCAGTCAAGGTGATTTTTCTCAGTCTTATGTTTTTTATTTTACTGAACATAAAATATCGCCTTAACTGCATTACGCACGTGTGCACAGAGGTACGGCGAAACAAGCATGGATAATGCATTGTACAAACCTGTATTTTTGACATCTCTATTCATCCTAAGTATTTGTTATTGCCTACCGGATCCATGTGGACCAATTTCCCGTTTAGAGGCCCGAAACCCTACCAACGACTATTGATAGTGTTGTGAGGTATTACTCACATTTGTGAGCAGTTTGTAAACTAGTGCGGTTGGCGGTTTCCTTCACAGACCAAAAATTAACAAGACTACTAAGGGGTAAGTTGTTGTGCTTCAAAGAATAACTGCGGACTGCTTCATTCATTACCCGGTGTTCTGCCGGAAATTGTGATGGCATGTTTCAAATGAGATATCTGTTATACGTATATCAAATTCTTGACATCCTTACTATAATCTGCAATAAACAACTATCCTCGACGAGGTGTCGCCTTGTGGAATTATAACAATAGTAGTATTGAGATCTAGGTTTAAGAAGAACTTTAGTTAACAAGCTGGTAGTATCCCTCTTTTCTTGCGTCATCAGTCAGCTCGTGATCGTTCGGTATGACCTGTTCGGTTTGCTAGTTATTTGGCAGACTAAACCCTGGCCACGGTTACACACCCAGATCCTGGATTCCAGCTTGTGAGTCAATGGGCATGTTCAAATCGGACTGGAAAACTCACGTCCGGAACGACCGTACATGGGCCCGTTGTACATGAATACTGAGGTTGATGATGACATGGATTGTGGAACTAGATGGGTGTGAAGGCGATCAGTCAAAAATATCCGTTCTAGTCGGTTTTGGTAGACAGATTCCGGCAACCGAGAAATATGCGTAGAAAAAAATCACAAAAAAAACAATGGACGTCAGCTAATCCAGCAGAAGGATCGGGTGTAGAATGTAGAATGTGAAGGCGTGTTAGCGCTCGCACAAACTCACGCACGCACACAAAAAAGATAGAGAACCGAGACACGCGTGATGGATCAGACGAAGTCTAGAGCAGAAGCACTGAAGCGCCAATCCTGAACACACGATGTAGCCAAATTTCACCAGAAGGCATCTGAAAAGCCTCTGGTCTCGTGCCAGATGTCGAATCGGTAGCTGAATTCACCTACCGCCCTTGCGTCTGTCAGATTTGAGCCGTGACCACTTGTTTGAACGTTTCGACGATAGAACAAGCACTAAGTGCCGGCAAATTTCATGCGATCGTCAGAATTTGTGAGAAACACAGAGCCACTGAGAGAGCGAGTGATTGAGAGAGAGAAATAGCGACAGGCTGAAGCGAGTAACTAAAAGAGAATTGATTAGTGGCGGTACACTGATATAAATCCTGCTGACATTTAGAATACCCTGTCAGGTTTGATTGATCAATTTGTAAGCATCGGAAAATTCGTCTGTGAGTTTGTGTGTGTGTTTGCAAGCGTGCACACGAGTCGCTCTCTCTCTGTCTGTCACGGTGACGAGGCTACATATGTACACGCACGTGTGCCGGACCTCAAACGAAAGCACGTGACGGAGTTTGAGAAACCGCGTAGCGAAGCTCTGTAGACAGAATCACATCTGGTGCGATTGCGATCACTGACAGAGAATCGGTCTGAATTCGATTAGATTTCACCAAATAGAACAGGCTCATGAAGTGCTACTGACTGGGCTGGTGCGCGCGCGTGCGTGCGTATGTGTGGGGAGCCCGTGCTCGGTCGCTCTTCTCTTCTCGCATTCATCTTGAAATTGACCAAGCGGCTCCGGAGGCGGCATGCGGCAAAATAGAGTCAGACGTGTTACAAACAAAATGAAACGATATGTGCTCTGTGCAATCCATCTGACATTTGCAGAAAATTACACAGTCCGAGGTAGATCATATTCGTGTGGCACATAAACTGTTCACATTGTGAAGCTGATGTCTGGTTATCTTGACCTGTGTAAAACAATTTGTGACTTGATTTGGACTTGATTTGATTTGCTCAGTCCTGATCAAGCGCGGCATAAGTCTGTATTGTGCCCGCTTTATTTACGATGGGAAACTGGAAAACACATACCACCGGGCGCTGTGAGGTCCGGACCACCCCGGGGTGATCCACTTGTAAACATTTACTTCATGCAGACCGATACATCGGACCTCGATTCCACCTGATCGACGGATTGCAGGTTGAATGGTTTTCTTATTTTCATAGCAAATATTGTTCGAGAAATTACATCTTTTTGGGGAGAGGGTCATAACGCATCTAGCGAGCGAGAGAAGTTAACCACCATGTGATTCTTAGTTGCTGCTTATTACGGGAAGAGAACGAAGTTGGGAATAGATCCGTCCGACTGTTGGAAACTCAAAAATTCATTTTCGAAGTAATCTGAGCATCTGTGAACGGAATACACTTGAGGCCGGAATCTTTACCCCGATGAAGATAGACGGCCATTAATTACTTCGTCACAGACAAGTAGGAACTTCCGAATACCAAGCGAGGGTGAGATCACCGTTGCAGAAACAACCTATGGAAGTCTTAAGCCCATATGTTTTGTTTCATGAAATCACCGACTCAGTAAATATGCACCGGATCACAACTCCTAGAACCGCGCATAAAATGCAGCCTAACTGCGGAGTTTTTCGGGTACATACATGTATATGTGGAATTGGTGATCAACATTGTTAGATCAGCAATGAGTCTGTAGGCAGAGAAGCTTGGTCTGTGTTTACATTTGAGGGTGAGTGGGGGAACTCAACTCAGCATATGCACACTGAATAGTATGTGGGTTGATGATTCACTGCTTGTTTTACGCTTTAGCTTCGGGATAATTAGTTGCCACTTATAAAGATGCTGTAAAATAAGTAGAAGCTCAATGACTCAGCAAATCTCCCGAGAAGCACATGTTCTAATTCGCGCTTCTTGTTGCTCGTCAGATCGGCGTATCCGACAAGCCATTGACAAATCATTCATAATAGTGTACGCAAGCAAAGTATTTTTGATACCAATATTTAATTTCAAAAGTGAATTTATCGTGTATATAGCAAATGAAGTGTGAACTGAAAAGCTAGGAAGCACTGGACAGCTGTTTTGACCTGGTTGGGTCTCATTAGCGGTACGAATCCGTCGACCCAACTGGGGATTGAACCCGGGACCTTACGGGCAGGACGCAAGCATGCTACCCACTCGATCACCGGACAGCTGGTCAGACCGCTTTCCATTTCCCATTCACAACTACTATCTAATTTAAAAAATTCTTTATATATTATTTATTAAACTGCCTGAAAAGCAGACATTCCGCAAGGTGCTCTTTGTTTGGTAGCGAAGACTTGATTTTTTCACTGGAAATGACGTTTTTTCGATCTTGGTATACAGGTATTGCACTGTAGACACTACACAAGATTAGCGTGTTATCTAGGATCACAGGTCTGCAAAACGGTATTCGTTATTTAGTACGATGATTATTTTATGAATATAAAGCATAAGTAATTTTAACACTAATCTTGAATAGCAATCAAAGTTTGAATTGTAAAACGCATTTCGATCCCAGTCTGATATAACACCGCAATGTACTATCTGTTGGTATTTTGTGATAGCTCTCGTCAATCGTTTGCTTTTGTGTCACAAAAAAGCAAAGTCGTCAAACCCGAAGGAAGAAAGGGTGTGTTTCCAAAATGTCAAACACTATTCTCTCCATGGTGATCACACTTGGACTTGGTTTTTACATGTTTTACTTTCTTTTTTGTTTATTAATTATATAAATGTACACTAAAATTTCAAGAAGGGGATTGCGGTTATACCGAAGCTGTCTCGGGAAATGCAAATAATGAGGAAATGGGCAGTGGCGAGGGGGTTGGAACTTACAACCCCCCGGTGCTATTTCGATAACCTTACCACTAGACCACCGTCACCTGTCACTGCGTTCATGTGATCGGATTGCATGACAATCTAGTACATTTCCGTGGTACGGAGTTCCTAAATTCCCGTATAATTAGCTTTACCTCATCCCTAGTAAAAGCGTTTTTTTCTCAAATCTGAGGTCAGGTACTTTGAAAGTGTGGCACAGAATAGCGGAATTACCTTTGAAAGCGAAATATAGTAGTCATGCCTAATGACCACAGAGAAAACCTTCAACCCTCAATCAGGACTGAGAATACACTGAAGAGGGTGATAAATGCGAAACCGAACCGGATATTCCTAATCAGTAGCTTTGTTCCATATGGTGAAAATACTCGTGTAGCCATATGTCTCATGCTCGAATGTCCAGATCAGTAGTACCCGAGAACACAAGGGGGTTTTGGCTTGCCAAACTTCTTCCACAAAACGTGTCACATGCACCAAATATTGGTCCCGTGGCATGTGGACTGTAACTTGCCAACTGTGAGGCAATCACCCATTCCATATGCTACAGTCAAGGCTTTCTACAGAGGCGATGAATGAACCGCCCTACTGGCTATCGACTTGCCTGGAACATCTCTAGCTGTTCTGCAGACACCACCTGGATGTCAAAGGCATCGCGGAATAAAAAGACATACTAACTACAGTTCCATTCCAGATAGTTCATCGATGATTGTACTCCACAGAATTGAATTATCCTGCGAACAGGAAGTAGTCGTGTGCCAGTAAAAGGTAAGACCATGTTGGGTGTATTGTGATTGTAGCGATAGTACTCGATTCCGGCTATAATGCCAGTGTTCGTTAGTCATTGAGGGACATAAATAGACAAAAGACCACTGCTGTTGTACAGGATTATTGATCTCCACTGATTCTATTTGCTTTACCTTAAGTGAAACACTTATGCTTCTACACCGCGTGAGTTCTTTCTCATAGGTATTTCTTTGCATGAATGATAGTACGATCTATTTCAATCATGTATTCGCCTAATCCTTCAATTTCAATTACCATCAGCCCCTTATTTACTAGTGATGACGGAAGTGCCATAAAGTAATTTTGTATATCGAAATATTGCAGCTCCTCAACCCTCCACCAAAAAGATAGCTTCGGGTGGAAATGATTGGATATTTTACGGGAGCGCAGACATTGATACGGTATTTGTTTTGCCAAACTTTGTACACAGCAGGTTTATAAAAAGTCCCAGATTTTCTAGGATTTTCTAGAAAACTTGACCATTTCATTTCCTACGGCAATTCAATGACACATTTTAGACTACGCCATCCTGTCGATAACGGTACACATATAACCCACAGTTTTGAAACGTAGCTACCAGCGGTTCAAAGTTCTGATAGTTCTCTCTATCTTGCGACTGATAAACGTGTCTACAGGTAACTTTTTTGACCGTATCACGGAGAGCTGAACAAGTGTGTTAGTTTTTCGGTGAAACTTACAACTTCATTGCGTATGTGTGACACTTGTCATGATCTTACTTAGGTCCTCCAACTGACGTGAATTACAAAACGGGGACCTTGAAAACTGCCGATCCGAAGCAATTTGAGGTTAGCAATTGTCACTTTTGGATTGATCAAAGTTGTGTTCATGCTGTTTCCTGTACACTAACCAATTACAATGGGTCTGACTGAAGGCAGGGAAATCTCATGAAATACCTGTTCACTAGGACAAAAAATCAATTGTTTTCACTGCAAGACCGCGGGGGCGAAGGGACGAGAGAAGATTAGGCGTCGCAAATCAAAAAATATCTTTTTGCGAGAGGCTGGTGAACATGGAGCTGCATTTTGCCCGAAATACACTGACTGGTGTGCAGTTCTAATCTAAAGCCTCGTGCTTTTCATGATGCCAACGATATACCGATGCGGAGGATAGAACAT